ACTACCTGACCGGGAACATGGACAGAATGGTGAACATGCTGGTGAACCAGCGCTGGAACAGCTTCATCATGGACAGTCCCGTTCACAACCTGGAGCAATCCATGGTGACGGGCCAGCTGTATTTCCTTGACAACGAGCTGAGTTTCATCCACAGCTACCGCCTCCTGTACAGATACGGCCACTTCCACGCAGAGATGCTGCGATCCCTGTGTGTATTCAGACTCAGCACTGTGGACAATTTGAAGAGACTTCAAAGCGAGGGAAATATCTGGGAGAGAATGTGGGATTTTGCTGTGACTTCCGACTTGTTGGAATCTAAACAATTACCCAGACTTTCTCGAAAGAACATAGACATTCTGAAATCTAGACTTTCTGACGTGCTGAATCAAGTTAAATCTTGCCAAAAGATGTATCCTCATGAGCACCGTCATTCAACTAAATTCAGAGAATGAAGCACGAAAAATCAAACACAATACGACACGGTTGTTGGAAAAGGAAAAAAAAGGAAGATTGCATAGTTTGAGAATGCAACTTTCAGTGGGGCATTCAGTATTTAAAAAAAGATATTGTTGGATCATTATTTTAATCTCAATTTGCGAATAAAGGTATGCACTTTAGCATTTTACTATTTAGTGGCCCCATTAGTAGTATAACATTGGTCAGCGGATGAACGGGAGGGGGCGGGGTGTTGAACTCACTTCCCCCCTAGATCCGCCATTAACCCTCCCATATACTAATTTAAACAGTCACAGACAGTCAAAATGTTCATCCACTTCTTCTGCTATACTTTTAACACAGGCTAGTCATGTACCAAAATGTCAGATCATTATGTCAAGCAAGCACTGTGACTAGTCAAATTCAGTCAACAGACCATGAACAGACAAAGCAGGCAAGTTGTAAGCACAGCTGGCTTATCAATCACTCACAGTCAAAGCAAGCTGTGTAGTTACATAAACAGTCACGGTCAGTCAATCCTGCTATATAGCCTATGTAGGCTGGGAATTCTTAACTGTTGAAAACAAAACAGTCACTTGATTGATTTTGACTGAAAGGGCAACTTGGCAAAGAATGTATGTTTGCATAGGAGTTCATTGTACTTATTACAACTCTTGTATTATCATGTTAGATGACAGCCACAAGCAGGAAAACCTATTGATGCCCAATGCGTGCATGTGTGGAACGAAAATCGTTCTTGTTTTAATCTCAGACAGTCATCTTGATTAAACTGACATCCTCAGTTTAACGATGTGGACTGGTAGATTATGATTTTCTTGGGTTTTTGGGGAATGCGAGTTCGTTACAGTCAAGTGTCACTCACCCAATTCTGTTCCGACATGTCCGATGTGTGTGTGCGGTACTGTCCAACTGTTCTCCCGCACGGTGGCTGGCGGTAGAATTTGCCTCGACTACCGCGAGACGAAACCGATCCTGGTCCCGCGAATATATATTTACAAATGTTCACAAGGTTACCGACGGACGGACGAAGACGACGAGAATTAACTAACTAGTATAAAACTTGGAATTGCTGACGAATAACGATGATAAACTGGCAAAACTTGGCACTTCGAATTTACAGGAACGCGACGTTATTAAGACGTTAGAACGAAAAAGGGGCACGTCCTTCGCACGTGTTTGTGAACCAACGAAAAGTCTATGTGAAACGCGTATTATGTACAGGTACCAGCGACACGCGAAAGTGCTGACAGGTCAAAGTATGACGAAATGCTGACAAAGGTCAGAGTTCGCGCGGGGTGGTCACCACATCAGCCCCCTCCAGAGAGCTTCTGGAAGAAGTGATCGAAGAAAAAAAACCACATATATATACAATATTTACAGCGTTCAACCACAGTCGAACTGGGAGAGGTGCGCGGGCCAGTGAACCCGACGGCCGGTGCGTGTTGTTCGCTCGGTCGTGGTACTGTCCTGATCAACTGGAGCAGGCAGGGGAGGTGCCACCGGCGGGTTTTGAGGAGTTGGCACTGGCGGTTTTGGCGATGTTGGTTGTGGCAACGCAGTTGAGGGATCCATCTCAAGATACGCGACTTTCAATCTATCCAAACTCACTGTGTCGCTCTTGCCGTTGATGTCCAGTGTATAGTATTTGTCTGCTCGCTCAAGTACACGATATGGGCCCTTGTACGGAGGTTCGAGTGGTTTGCGCACATGATCACATCGGACGAAAACGTGTGTGCAAGACAACAAGTCCTTGTGAAGCTGTGTGGTGCGGGTGTGCAGTCGTGTAGGTGCTGGCGCTATCTGACGCATGACGCGTTTGAGGCGATGAACATAATCTCCTGGGTCTAATCCAGCATCATTGACGGGTGCGACAAACTGTCCAGGGAGGCGCAATGTAGTTCCAAAGACGAGTTCCGCTGTCGAACACCCAATGTCCCGTTTGACGACTGTTCGGATCCCCAGCAGAACAAGAGGGAGCGTTTCCGTCCACCTGTTGGGCTCGTCTTGTGCTTTGAGTGAAGCTTTCAACTGTCTGTGGAAGCGCTCCACTAGTCCGTTTGCGATAGGATGGTACGAAGTAGTGCGGATGCGTCGACTTCCAAGTAATGTTGTCAAGGCGTTGAACAGGGCTGATTCGAATTGTCGGCCGCGGTCGGTGGTGATTGTCGATGGTGTGCCATATCTTGTTACCCAATTGCTCACAAACGCTCTGGCGACAGTTTCTGCAGTTATGTCTGGGATCGGAATGGCTTCCGGCCACCTTGTGAAACGGTCAATGCACGTGAGTAGGTATGACTGACCGTTGGACGGTGGAAGTGGGCCGACAATGTCAATATGCACGTGGTCAAAACGGGCATCAGGGGTGATGAAGGTTCCTAGTGGTGTGATGGTATGCTTGTGCACCTTGGATTTCTGACAACGGATGCAGGTTTTAGCCCACGAACGAACATCATGGTTCATGTTGGGCCACACAAAACGTGCGCTGACTAGCTTGAGAGTGGCTCTGATTCCGGGATGCGACTGGGAATGCAAGGAGTCGAACACTGCTCTTCGCATCACCTTGGGGACGAAGGGTCGAGGGGTGCCGGTAGCCATGTCACAAGCTAGGGTGTTCTTGCTTGCAACCAGCGGAATGTCCTGTAGCTGAAGAACCGACTGCTGTTTGTGTTGGAGTAAGTCCTCATCATTGCGCTGATGCTCGGCCATGGCCTGGAAATCGATGGTAGATGATGACATGGCAGAGAATGTGTTCAGGCTAATGCGTGACAACGCGTCAGCGACGTCGTTGTGTTTACCCTGAACATGTCTGATGTCAGTTGTGTACTGCGACACGTAGTCAAGTTGTCGGATCTCGCGGGGGGAGTATCTATCCGAGCTTGCAGCGAGTGCGTGTGTCAGCGGCTTATGATCTGTTAAGATGGAGAATGCGCGACCCTCGACAACATGGCGGAAGTGGCGGATGGCAAGGTAAGCCGCTAACAGCTCCCGGCCGAACGTGCTGTACTTGGTCTCCGCAGGTTGCAGCTTTCGTGAGAAGAAAGCAATGGGACGCCAGATGTCATGTTCCAGCTGTTGCAGGACTCCACCAACGGCGAAATCAGAGGCATCGACCATCAGGCTTAACTCAGCATCGGATCGAGGATGGGACAAGCGAGTTGCATTGATCAAAGCAGACTTGACTGCTTCGAAGGCATCGATTGCCGTGTTGGTCAGTTCGATTGTCTTCTTGGGTTTTCCAGCGAGGAGGTCGGTCAGAGGTCGTGCCAAGGCAGCACAGTGGGGGATGAAGCGGCGATAGAAGTTGACCAGTCCAAGAAATTCGCGCAATTTCTTGGTTGAATTGGGGACTGGGAACCGTTTGATCGCGTCAACCTTTGTGTCCAGTGGCCGAATACCGTCCTGGTCGATCTGGTGGCCTAGGAAGTGTAGTGACGGCACACCAAATTCGCACTTGGCGGGATTCACCACAACACCGTACTGATCAAGCCGCTCGAAAAGCGTTCGAAGATGCGACTCGTGCTCTTCTTCGCTATGGCTGGCGATGAGTAAATCGTCGATGTAGGCGTATACGAAATCCAACCCGTGTAACACTTTATCGATGAAACGCTGAAACGTCTGGGCTGCGTTTCGCAGTCCAAAAGGCATGCGCAAGAATTCGAACATGCCAAATGGAGTGGTGATGGCCGTCTTCGGAATGTCACTCGGCTCCACGGGGATTTGATGGTACGCTCGGACTAAATCCACCTTCGAGAAAACAGTCTGGCCATGCAAAGACGAAGTGATGTCATGTACATGTGGGATTGGATAGCGATCAGGGACGGATGCATTGTTCAGAGCGCGGTAATCCCCGCATGGTCTCCAATCACCCTGTGTTCCTTTCGGCACCATATGCAATGGCGATGACCAACTACTATTGGAGGGACGGATGATGCCCAATTGTAGCATGTGGTCGAACTCCGCCTTGGCGATTTTCAATTTGTCCGGAGCAAGGCGTCGTGGCCTGGCGGATACAGGAGGGCCTTTAGTTGTGATGTGATGGGTGACATCATGTTTGGGTGTTGCATCCTTAAAGCAAGGTTTGGCAATGGCAGGGAACTGACCCAAAATGGCTGTGTATTGAGTGTTCGGGGATGGGCCAGCAAAAACAGGGCTGAGAACATTGGTACTTGTTGCAATGCCTTGAATGCTAAGACTAGTGGTGGAATCTATGAGTTTTCTGTCCTTCATGTCAACCAATAACCCGAAATGGCGAAGGAAATCTGCTCCCAAAATTGCGACTGGTACATCAGCAACTGTAAAAATCCACCTGCATGTACGCCTAAGACCCAAATCAATTGTCATTGAACGCTCACCGTATGTGTGAATCCGTGTCTTGTTGACTGCCTCGAGCACAAAATCACTCCTGCAGCACTGCTTGTCTCGTGGCGTTGGAGGGAGGATGCTGACCTCAGCGCCGGTGTCCACGAGGAACTTGGAGCCTGTGATTTTGTCATATACATGGAAAAGGCGACATTGATTGGGTGTGCCAGTGGATGAAGTCGCCCCTATCCGCTGGCCTGCTGGTTTCCCTGGGCCGTGTTGGAACTGTGGTTGCGTGTGTAGTTGCATGGTTCCTTGCAGTTACGAGCTTTGTCCCCGTATTTCCAATGGTACCAGCAGGAATCAGTAGGGTTGTCCCCCGACGCAGAAGAACTGCGATCGCGTCTGTGCTGGCTTTGGTCGCGACTGCGGCTCCTCGACCGACCGTGTTGATACTGGTTCTGGCGCACCAACAACTCCATCTGGGCCGTGAGCTTTTCGACTTGAGCTTGAAGCAACTGTATCTCCGATGCAGCAGATGGCTTGACTGCAGCAACAAGTGCTGGTGCTGGAACGGCAGCACAGGCCTGAGCTGGTGACGGGGAAACTTCAACGATTTTGTCCGCGAGCTTAGCGAGTTGTGCGATGTCGACGTCGCTTGTCGAGGCCAAGATCAATTGGATGTTTGTTGGCAGGCGTTGCATGAACAACTGCTTCAGGATTGCAGGCTCCAGTGTGTTATTGCCGAGGAGTTGTTCCATGGTGCGAAGTAACTGCGAGGGCTTCTTATCTCCAAGCTCTTCTGTAGTCAACAGTTTTTGGAGGCGCTTTCGCTCCGACTCGCTAGTGCGTTTGATGAGCTCCTCCTTCAGTTTGGAATATGGGTTATCAGCCGGTGGGTTGACTAACAAGTCCCTTACTTCCTGCGCAATGGATGGTTGTAGAGATGCGATCACGTACGAGTATTTCGTGAGCTCCGATTTGATGCCCCGGGTAAGAAACTGCGCCTCAACTTGTGCGAACCATATCACCGGGTCGTTGGGCCAATACGGTGGGAGTTTCAAAGCTACTGCACTGACTGGTGATGCTCCAGAAGACCCTCCAGAATCTGGGTTTTGCGGCTCCGATTTGGTAGCCATCGCACGTTTTTGGGTCACCACTTTGGGGAATGCGAGTTCGTTACAGTCAAGTGTCACTCACCCAATTCTGTTCCGACATGTCCGATGTGTGTGTGCGGTACTGTCCAACTGTTCTCCCGCACGGTGGCTGGCGGTAGAATTTGCCTCGACTACCGCGAGACGAAACCGATCCTGGTCCCGCGAATATATATTTACAAATGTTCACAAGGTTACCGACGGACGGACGAAGACGACGAGAATTAACTAACTAGTATAAAACTTGGAATTGCTGACGAATAACGATGATAAACTGGCAAAACTTGGCACTTCGAATTTACAGGAACGCGACGTTATTAAGACGTTAGAACGAAAAAGGGGCACGTCCTTCGCACGTGTTTGTGAACCAACGAAAAGTCTATGTGAAACGCGTATTATGTACAGGTACCAGCGACACGCGAAAGTGCTGACAGGTCAAAGTATGACGAAATGCTGACAAAGGTCAGAGTTCGCGCGGGGTGGTCACCACAGGTTTAGCTAACTAACTAAATGCACCCCAAGCTGTCGTGACATCAGTAGGAAGCCTTGATGTAATCAACAGAGGGCGTACTTCAAGTAAATACGAAGGTTAGTATGCTCACGGTAGTTATTTATGTCATTTATTATGTGAAAACCGACCCATGACATGTAAAAAAAATGAATCCACCAACATTAGAAGTCTTGCAAAAAAACGGATGTGGAGAATATTGCCGGCGATCAGCTGACTGCCTACAAAATAGAATAATTCCATTGTACACGTTTGACACGAGTAGGACTGACCTACCAGTTACCTTGACTTCAAGTACCCCCTCTATCGACGTACTGACACAACGTAATGTGACGCATGCACCATTAGTCTGGTTCCCAGACCTGACAATTATTCCCGACGCTCACGTCCAAATTGTAGGTCAGGCAGCCTCCGTGGCTAAAAATAAACATGACGACATCGATGGTCCTTTTCTAAAGCTCGGCTTCATTTCCGATTTCGCTTTATCACTTATAGCTTTTAATGTTCTGATCAAATTTTTCAATAAATCACTTGCTTCGAAATATCATACAATTATGATAATACAGTTTGATATTACTGTAAGATAACATTGACTAATGTTGATCTGGAATGTTCAAAATTAGGTACCCAAATAGCTCTGTTAGCAGGCGGAGCTGAATGAAGACCATACGATCCGAGTATACTTGATGCCCAAAATCGTAGTTGAATTTCAAGTTTTCTAAATGAAACCAATGAATATTAATTATCAAATCATTTTAAAACAAATTTAATAAGCAATTAGCAGTTAATTAAACCTATATTATACTCGGAAATACTCGGGCGCTATCCGATTGTCGACGAAATCGATATGGCAAACTTCGGACATTTTCGGAAAAAGGAGGAATTCCTCCCGTTTTAGTCACGTGAGGTAAATTGTAATACAATGTGTCACCGGAGGCTACCTGACCTAAGATTCATCAGGAATAGTCAGAATCTTTTGGTCTGGGAACCAGACTAATGCACCATTCCCACTCGGAAAATGCTCCATGGGTGTACTGCATCCATTTTATCGCTGGCCACCTATACCCCTCCTTCTTATTCCTCCATGGCTACCCAATCCAAGAAGTGAGGGTTGCCAATTTCAGACTGACCAAATGCCCAACTCGGGGCACCATCGTTATCGAGATAACTATGATGGACACAAGACGAGGTCGCTGTTGGGATTTGGTAAACACAAAGACTTACCCGATCCGAATAGCGCCCTCGTATATTGTGTCCACCATACATGTATCTCAAAAAGGCTAATGGTGCAGACCTCAGACCTGTAAATAGGCCCAGAATTGCCTACGTGGCCAAATCACGATTTGTATGCCCTCAATTTATTCGCTATTAGTGCATTTTGTGGACCATAAACTTGAAGGTTTGTAAACAGAAAAAAAAAGGAAGAAGAAGAACATGGTTCGAAGCCTAGCCGTGCACAGGAGTGCGAGCGTGTATTTCTGTGAAATTCGGATAAAATTGGGCCCTAAAATTGCTCTATTTTGCAATGGAACGCAGGCATCGTTTTTCAAAATGGCGATGGCCATAGGACTACTTTTAGAAGTGATCATTTTTGGATGAAATTTCCTCCCAAAATTCATCAAAAACCACCCCAAAATTGAACAGAACACGAAACATGATGAGATAAGCTTTAATTTGATGGGTGTCTCAAACACCTTGGAGAGTTGCGAGTATTTAAAAAAAAAATTGGAAATACATGTACTCGTAATTATCACTGAGGTCTATGTGATTCGATTTACAGGTCTGCATCCCAATGGCATTGCCAGTAGAGCGTTGGCAGTGGCGTAGCCAGGAATTTTTCAGTGGGGGACGCTGGGGGGCTGGAACATTTCATGGGGGGGGGGGCGTCATGTAGATCAATGATAATTTTTTTAGAAACTCAAAATCTCAGTGGAGGGGGGGGGGGGCGACTGGGGGCGACAAGGTTTCATGGGGATGGGGGGGGGGCTGTCCCCCCCCCCCCCCCCCGTGGCTACGCCACTGAGCGTTGGGTAAACTCCGCGATCTCAAGTCACCCAGTCCCGAATCCACGTGACCGGCTATGCAAATGAACACAGGTATTCAATGTTCAGCTGTAACCTTAGACCTAGCCTATAAGATTGACTTGATTAAAACTGTGGGCTAATTTGAAAGTACATGGCTCAAAAAGATTGTGATGGTCACAACGAAGTCAACACATTATTTCGAATAACAAAATTGTTTGCATTACTGAGTCGGTCGAACCGTTAAACCATAATCCACTTGACCAACATGTCCTTAGTTTTCGTGTTATGATTACTGTTTGGAAATCCCATTACTGCTCGTGCAAATTGGACTTGTCGGTGGCAACGACAAAAGACACATTTTTATTTGCAAACAACGTCTACACGAGTGTTAAACATCACAGGATATGAAATACTTTCACACGAAACAATAAAAAAAATTTTTTTTAAATGTTAATTAAAATTTTACATGTTCAAAATGTTCCTCTACTCGACCATTTTCTGGACTAAGAAGAGGTGCAATTTGAAGTTTATTTACCCAACGGATTGTTTTGAATCAAATAAAATTTAGAAATAAGTTAACTCAGGTGCCTCAGAAAAGCACCCATAATATAGTAATGAGTCATATGTCTACTAATAGCCGTATAACTTCCCCATGGACGATCGGTACATCAAATGTTGCGAAATCACCGATTTATAGATGTACTTGTCCAATATTTCCTACCTCCTATCATGTGATATGAGGATCGGAGACCAGTCTACAGGGTGAACCCAACAAAAGATTCTTCATGAGAAGAAAATTGAATTTGTTGAAAAGCACGTAAAAATACATCTTTAAAGCGCGATCAGTACATCGAGTATTGCGACATCACTATATGCTTTCTTCAAATAAAAAATACAACAAAAGCGTGAAGGGCATGTCGACTGCATGTTGTTTGTCCACCGGTTGAGCTCTGCATTTTGGTGTATGGGCCACACCGAACAAACACGCCATTCACATGTAAATCTGACGGCAACGCATGACAGGCTTACACGTAAAGTGATAAAAAGTTAGTTGTCGTGTTTAGTTTATCGTTGAATACCTACTGAAAGGAGTTTGGAAGCTTGTTGTTGGATTTTTATTTGGACTTCCCGTTTCACGAATTTCGCAATATTCGGCCTTTTAGAATGAATAGGCAGTTACCCGGTACAAAGGCAGCATTACCCAGTACAAAGGCAGCAATGATTATGTCATGTGGAAACGACGTTCAGGATTTTTCTTTGGTTTTTCGAATTGGTTATAACTCCATGGTTATAAGAAACAAAGGATCCAAATTCAATAAACCTGGTTACCTGTACATATCTCCAAGAAATATGATTGCTGACATCTCGTTCGTGAAATGGCTCGACATTCACGAGTGAGCCCTTTTTTCGTGAGCTAGCTTTCTTGCAATTAATGTTCTTTTTGTGCAAGTACTGCATGAAACATGGATGAAACAGTTTAACACGGGGTAAGGGGGAAACCTTCACCCCCACCGTCCAGCGCACCCCTCCTCTGCGTCCTAGTAGGGCGTGTGTGCTGAACTAAAGGTCTGATTTCTTGGGCTGGGGATATTAGTTAAGATGAGAAGATGACTCATTGTTCGGCTCATCAATATACACGCCACTGAAAAAGGACGAACCCAATGTTTCATTGTTCCGACAGTTCACTGTATCTTCTGGTCATAGTGGTGTTTCTGAAAAAGCTGATACTACTGTTTGTAATAGTACTTCTTTTCCTTTTTTTTTAATCTGGGCATGAGGCAGACTTGTTTTCGAGTCACATAAACTCACCTCTTCTGAGTCTGAGTCATTAAGGACGAGTCCGAGTCACAAAGATCGAGTCCGAGTCACCTTCATAGATCACTACATATGATTGGAAGGGGGTCTAAACAATGTTCGCCAAATCCCGATGTTCCCCAAAATCCTCTGGGTTAGGGTTAGGGTTGGGGAACATAGGTATGCACCCATTGGAAGGCACTGAAAGACGAGTGTCTGGAAAGGATAAGACTGTTACCGAACACTATCAAGCTTGCATTTACGCAAAATCAAGTGTGGCCACTGGGGTTCATAAAAACAATCACCCAACATGTCCACCCCGACCAAATCGAACAGAAAGTAAAGAGGGTCATTCTTGTTTAATGTGATGTACATTTTGTATGTCTTGATAACCTGCGAGCGCACCGAGTATTTTTCCCAACTTTTTAGAAATGGGAACATTTATCACAGATGCCTACGGGAATGTATTATCCGGTCTGCATCCATCAGGTAAATGGGGCCAGCCTGAGATGCTCAGGGGCCAAATGGTTTGTGCATGTCTTCTTACAAGCATGTACCCATCACGTGCCTCCGGTATAACCGTCCTTAAAAACTTAACCCTGTTCTGCGTTCAAAGACTGGCCCATTATTGGCCTATTGAATGAGCCAACAAAGGCTCAATGCCCTATTGTTATGGATCCGGCTGAACCACCCCTCGTCTGGGATGCTTTGCTATTCAAACTCACTGACCGTATATAGAAAGTGCGGGTTGGAAATTCTTCAGTCGAACAGGTCGGGGTTGGGCTTTTTGAAAACGGGTACGTGGTGCATGTCTGTTTCTGCATCGCCCAAAACTTTCCATTCTGGAATTGCAATATTTCAGGCAAACTTTGGGGAAAGAGATTGTCTCGATTGAGAATCATACTGGGGTAAGACTACCGTCTTCACGATGGAGATGTAGCTGAACAGAGACCCCGGTGTATCGGTCTTGGAGAGCAAAATCTTGGCCTGAAATTGGAGACTTTTGATTCTGTCAAAAGTGGATGCCGTGAAGTGTGCGTTGCGTTGCAGCTGTTAACCAGTGGATGCTTTGCTCAATGTGTTTGGGTACACAACAACTATCAGTCGATCAGCGGTGCAGTCGTCTGATTCCACCCGAAGGTGAACCTACTGCTGATTGGGATTAGCAATCACCTCATCTGATGTAGAGGTGAGTGTAAAACATCTGGATTGAGATGTAAAATATAGTTTTATACATTTCAATTAATTTGGGTTAAACTTTGATACAAGAAAGAATGAAGTATCCATGCGCCACATTGTTGTGTACATTACTGAGCCAATTGAAGTCATAGACGTTTAAAGTAGTTTATAGCCAATTTTGGATATGTTGCTTCCACTCCCGAATTAAGAGTTTTTAAAATATCTTCAAAGGCTTAAGGCTAACCATCATCGAGATTATGATATAATAACAAGTGGTATTGTACTGTACATGTATATATTTCCTTAGTCCGAAAATTTGGGACTATCAATAATGTGTATGAGAGTCCCAAAACTTAAGGTATTGAAAACACGAAATACAAGAAAATAGACGCGGGGCACCTGAAACAACCAACACCGCTTCAGTATACTGCATCAATCAAGAGTGCCAAAAGAAACATCTGGCATGTCTGGTACTAGTCTCTATTTCTACACATTTCTCCATAGTCAGCCACCAGACTAATGACAACAAATGAAGATGTCACCCTTTTCAAATTAGTTGGACCATGATGCGTGGTTGGACATGTACCAGTCTAGTCTTTAGCCTCAATTTGAAATCACTTGACTTCCCTCTCATTAGCCCCATAAATGTGGCCTATTTACTGGACTGCCTCCGTAAACATAGGTCACACGTCCACATGTACAAAAATCGTGTCGACTTTGCCAAATTTTAATTTTCACATTTAGGCTTAGTTTGTAGAATTTTTTTGCTTTAGAAGCATACTCACCCACTTTATAGGCTAGTCAGAAAGTGCTGCCTTTTTCAGATGTCTAATTTTTGTGAAATTTCATGTTGAAATTTTGATACGCAAACGTGTAAAAATGAATCTGAAAATTTCACGAAAAATATACATCTGAAAAAGGCAGCACATTCTGATTAGCCTATAAAGAGGTTGAGTATGCTTCTAAAGCAAAAAAAACCCTACAAACTAAGCCTTAATGTGAAAATCAAAATTTGGCAAAGTCGACACGATTTTTGTACATGTGGATGTGTGGCCTATGTTTACGGAGGCAGTCCAGTAAATAGGCCACATTTATGGGGCTACCCTCTCAAGTGCAGAATATTGAGGGAAAAATCTCCTTTTCAAATTGGTTGGTGAAATACTGTGGATATTTTCCTTGCACAATGAAAATTTTGGAGAATTTTGCTGGCTAAAGAGTGAGTAAAGTTGGCCTGATTTCGTTTTGCATGTTTTTTCAGCACTCAGGGTCCCAGTCTGATATTTTCTTCTTGTTTTTAAGGTGATTTTATTGTGGTCTAACCAGAATTAAACACTTTCCCACAATACACATGTTTCATGATAACCTGAAATTGGACGTCCCAAAAACAATTTGTACGTAAATCAAACATAATTACATACCTTGATTGATTTTCACTAGGCTAGCAAGTTTGCTTGCATGCTGGCACTTTGAAAGAAATATGAGCGAAGTTGGAAAAATATTTAAAAAGAATGTAGTATCCCACTTCTTTGGTTGTGTACAAAGTCAAGGTATTTTTAACGAAAAAAATGGAAATTGTTCTCAGTCCCATATTCATGTCTTTTCAATATTTTTGCAATGACTGACCTTCACTAAGATAATATATGGTGAAAAAGTTCCGTCGGGATGTAACATTCTTTCTAAAAATAGATGACAGATTTTCTTTCAACATTCTTTCCAAATATAGATGACAGATTTTCTTTAAAAATGGAAAATAGCATTGTTAATCATTTTGTGTGAGGTATCACAGGTATCTTCCAGAATAAACAAAATCCCTCATTGTGTCCTCGAGGTCATCAAATTTATGAAATAAAACCTACCTTGTTGAAAAATTGTTGGGAATTATGAGTTCAGGTCAATCGTGTCAGCCACGAAAACACCATTGTTCCATTGTAATTCGCAAAAAACAGCAAAGTTTACGACCTGTCTTTTTCGGAATAATATCAATTGTCAAACATTTTATATTGTTCCCTTCTGGCGTAATTCTGTTTCCATACGTGTGCATGTAGTCACGTTGGTTCTATGAAATGAGTTTTGTCAAAAAAATACGCGCATGTTTCTAATGAACATTTAATCCTTTTTTGTTTGTTTACTTTTTTTATGTTGAGATACCCTGTTGTCAATCCTGTTATACGATTCTGCAATCTTTAAACTTATTAACAGTGTTAGGCCCAAAAAAAAAGTCGGTCTCTGGTCAGCGCACGCGTCGATTTTTGTTGTATCTACAACAGCGATCTCTATTGCCGCACCACCTGAAATTTTTGTACCAAGGAGCACCAAGGAATGGGGAAATTGCACAAAGGCAAGTGATGGAGGGCACCGAGGCGAATGATGGAGGACACCAATGTATATGAGGACAAAACAAAATCAAAATAGAACCCACCCTGTCTTGTACAATCCAAGCTTGAAAAAAAAAGCCAACCCCCCCCCCAAAAAAAACCGCGTCGCCGCATCAATTCCGGAACTTTGGTGTTACCGGAGACCGACAATTGGCCTTAGAAGTGCTGATATTTTGTAAAACGTTATACAAGACAATGATCAATGACTTCACATCCGCCGTATGTTTAAAAAGTTACTTGACTTTTCATAATCCAAAGCCATTAACTGAACTGAAATTGATGCAGCGGTAACATGATTAGAGATCAGTGGCGTAGTCAGGAATTTTTCAGGGGGGGGGGGGGCTGGAACATTTCATGGGGGGCGTCATGTAGAACAATGATACTTTTTTTTAAAAACTCAAAATCTCAGGGGGGGGGGGCGACTGGGTGCGACAAGGTTTCATGGGGGGGCTGTTAAAGTATACATGTAGTGAAGGACATTGCCTTCAATAAAAGAGGTGTTTGGTTATATCACATCTAATTACCGTAAATTGCCTGTTTTTACAGCTGAATCCACAAAAACAAATTCAAAAAATAACGCAGATGACTATATTTTTAGCTGAGTTTTGAACCTATACGCTATATTTAGGATATTTTGAATATCCCTTCTTCCGCTTGAGCACCCTTGAAAGCTAAAGGTTTTCACACTACTGTCTCGCCTTATCGTGTTGATTCAACACGGGTTCACCGTAAGCGGAATCAGACCCGTATAACACCACGGTGTTGCCGGTCCGGGTCGGCTGTAGATTTGGGAATTTCTGCCCGCGTACAGCTTCCCAACCCTGGTCATGTAGATCGAGCGCCAGACCCGTGGATCATAGCCGTGTTTGGTTCTTGCTAGTGTGAAACTGGTTCCCCGGCAATCTCCTTGTTGGACCCGGATCCGACACGGTGATTATGAACAGAATTGAAAGGCCTTAAAGAAATTGACAAAAAAGCTTAACAGATTGCTTGAGGCTGGGTCACGGGTCTTGTTAGATGGGAAAAAATGATTTCACGAGATCCTACATATTGGATACATTTTAAACATAGGAGCAAACTAAAGACATTTCCCTTAAGAGATCGTAAAAGTACAATGAGATATTTTTTGAGTTAATCGCATTTAGAAGATTATTGTCAGTGAGAAGATTATAACAATTTGTATTAAAGACTTCTTAGGTAAAGAAGAAAGGGTTATAGTATACATGTAGTGAAGGACATTGCCTTCAATAAAAGAGGCGTTTGGTTATATCACATCTAATTACCGTAAATTGCCTGTTTTTACAGCTGAATCCACAAAAACGAGTTCAAAACATAACGAAGATGACTATATTATTAGCTGAGTTTTGAACCTATTCGCTATATTTTGGACATTTTGAATATCCCTTCTTCCGCTTGAGCACCCAAGGCTTTTCACACTACTATCTCGCCTATAATTATACCCGTGTTAAAATCAACACGGGTTCACCGTAAGCGGAATCAGAAGGCCTTTTCACACTACGAAAAATCTCCGTGTTGTACACGGGTCCGAGACTCATATAACACACCGGGGTTGTCGGGTCGGTTCGGCTGTATAGATTTGGGAATTTCTGCCCGCGTACAGCTTCCCAACCCTGGTCATGTAGATCGAGCGCCAGACCCGTGGATCATAGCCGTGTTTGGTTCTTGCTAGTGTGAAACTGGTTCCCCGGCAATCTCCTTGTTGGACCCGGATCCGACACGGTGATTATGAACAGAATTGAAAGGCCTTTAATAAATTGACAAAGCGTAACAGATTGCTTGAGGCTGGGTCACGGGTCTTGTAAGATGGGAAAAAATGATTTGACGAGATCCTACATATTGGATATATTTTAAACATAGGAGCAAACTAAAGACATTTTCCCTTAAGAGATCGTAAAGGTACAATGAGATATGTTTTGAGTTAATCGCATTTAGAAGATTATTGTCAGTGAGAAGGTTATAACAATTTGTATTAAATACTTCTTAGGTAAAGAAGAAAGGGTTATAGTATACATGTAGTGAATGACATTGCCTTCAATAAAATAGGCGTTCGGTTACATCACATCTAATTACCGTAAATTGCCTGTTTTTACAGCTGAATCCACAAAAACGAATTCAAAATAGAACGCAGGTGATCCTACATATTGGATACATTTTAACCCTAAAGAGGCCGGGGGGCGGAATCCGCCCCCCCCCTCAACATTTTCCGTGATAGCCTCTAAAAAGATTTTTTTCGCGACCCGAGCTGTTATGACTTTTTAGCCTCGAGCTTTGCGCATCTTTTGATACCAAAAACATAAAAATCGGACCACGGGTTGCCGCGTAGCGAAAAATTTTCCGGCGCTACGCGCCGTGAAAACTGAATTTTCGCATATACGTCGTGTGCACAGAGCAGAATTGCCATTCGTACATATGAATAATTAATTAGCCATAATTCCAAAACCCTTTGACCTATAGTCATGAAATTTCTTGGGTATGTTTAGGAAGAGTTGCTCTATGCATGTGCCGAGTTTCAAAATTCTTCGTCACTCGATGGCTGAGATCTTAGGGGGGGGGGCGGATCCCCCCCCCCCCCCGGCTGAGAGATGGTCAAAACAACCCGGCCCCTTTAGGGTTAAACATAGGAACAAACTAAATACATTTTTTCCCTTTGGCTCACATCATTCGGTCAATCATATGACACGTGACGCATTTGATCAAATTTGTTAACTCAAATTAGATTTCTGAAAAGGACAATAAATTTTATCCCATATTCATAAATACCTAAGACAGTTTACCCATTCCTATTTGTCGAGAGCCCGTCACGTGGCCGGTCTTAAATGGATGATAAAGACACGGCTGACTGATTTATTTTAAGGGGTTGGACCGTGAGGGACAATTTTGTGCAACCCTTGTTCACTTGGCTAATGGGACGTGAAATAACAACGACGTAATCAATTTTCGTCGTGAAAATACGTTTGCAAATGTATCGACGACTCATTACGACGAAATACACGCAACAAAATAATTTGACCATTTTCATACACGATGTGAGATCCATTACAAATATTTTGTTCCTGAAGTGCAGGCTTGCCGGCATGGCTTCTACTCCATCTACATGTATATCACCCATTTTACCTTGTTATTGTTCTTTGTCGTTTTAGTATGTGTGTCCTTGTTTTTATTGTTTTTTGGGTCTAGGTATAACAAAGGCTGACGCATTCATCCACTATTTGACAAATAACTCTTCTCTTTCAAACTTTCATGTTCAATTTTGCAGGAACATCACCCACTGAAGAGGGTGACGAATAGACGAATGTGACGCTGCCTGGTGCCGCATCCAATATTCCTGTCATTCAAGGTCACCTTCAGCTGTTTCAATGACGAAGATCAATAGGTGTTCACCAGACAACGGGTCGAGTCACGGGCTGACGGCTGGCCCCCAAGGCCAGGCTTTTCCCAATTCGTCCCAGACTTTGTATGCGTGAAGTTGTTTGCATATTTTACACGGACGAGTCGGCCCTGAAACTATTGACATTGGACAGTTTCGAATCAATACTGCTTAGTGGATTCTGATTGTAAAAGTTGAGACTTCTGAAGACATAAATCATATCTGACTTTACACTTGCAAAGTCAACAAGGAACATTAACAAAATGGCGGTTCGAGTGTGTTGGTACGGTATTTTTGTCGGCGTTCTGCTGCTCGTCAGTTATCCGGTAGACGGTGACGTGACGGTGCAGGTCGACGCATCAACGAGCCACCCCATGGAGGGCCACTCCACCTCACTGAGCTGCCGAGTCCGAAGCATGAACCAATCCCAAGTAATCGTCTGGAGCAAGGACCGGAGGTCCATCACGTGGGGAGACACCATGGGCCAGATGATGTCGTCCAGATTCGAACTAGACATGGAGAGCAGGAACACCTCTGAGGGGATGTTGACCAGTTACATACTGACCATTAACGACGTCACCAGAGACGACGACGGGAGTTACGAGTGTGAGGTGCTCCAAGAGAACGATGGGCACGGTTACTCGGCAATGGCGTCGAAGGCTGTCCACCTGTCGGTGTTGTACTTTCCGTCTAGTGTCTATCCATACTGCTCGCTGAACGGGAGTCAGACTCTTCTGACTGGGACCGAGCTGACTGTAACCTGCACCTCCGAGGTTGGCAACCCGCAGATCATCTCCGAGTGGATGACGGGTGATGACACCGTTCCATCGCCGATGTATCGCAACGTCGAGTCCTCCAGCATGATGGTTTCCGAACTCGCGTTTACAGCAAGTCATGATCTACAGGGTGCGACGTTTGTCTGCCGAGTGACCAGCGAGGCATATCCCGAAACTTATCGGACCTGCTCACTGGGACCACTCCGGATAATGGACTGGCCGGTCGTAGAGGTTACGCGCAGTCTGGAGAGGGTTACAGAAGGAGCCGACATTCATTTCCTTTGCAGCACTGATCCTGTCGTGCCCTCGTTGAATTGGGAGACCATCCCGAGTATCGACCCGGAGAGATTGAATGTTATGGACGGCGGCGCGATACTGACGGTCAAAAATGTACAGCTGGGAGACAACATGACCAGCGTGATATGCCGAGTGCCGTACAGGGACACATACGTAGAGAACCGGAGTACCCTTATCCTGCCCGCCAAACCACACGTGGAACCAACTCCATCACTTCATGCCACATCAGAGCTTTGCGTTCCGTGGTTTGCGGCTTTCCTCTTCACGGTTGTCATCAGCTTTGTCCTGTGCATCATCGTCGTCCGGTTGCTCATGAAAATCAAACTGCTGACTTACAAACTAAACAATTCCAAAACTGTCGAGCGGGGCCGTGAGTCCGTGCGTAGCGTCGATACGGGGACGTCTAGAAGTCTAAAGAAGGACAGTGTACTTACCTGGCCGGCCTCGCTTCGTAGCAGTTCCTCAAACTGGTCCATGAGGTCTGATAAAGAACTGAAGGACCAGAGGCGCCAGTCCTGGGTCTACATCCCTCCTCCAGGAGATGACCTTAGTTCTGCGATGGCAGAACCAACAACCTACACTGAGCTCTCACCAGATCCCGCGGACAGAACCAAATCGTACAGGAAGCCAAGTAAGACCGTCTCACTCCAAGGAATCCACCTCTCAGACAGCGACTCTTACGTGACACCAAATTCACATTCCAAACCAATGGCCAAATCAGCGTCTGCATCACCGCAGAAAAACTACAAGAAATCTGGGAAGGCGGTGATAAGGGCGTCGCCGACTAAAACCCCGACATCACAGCCGGGCAACAACTCTAAAAGGGGAGACATCGGGACGGTCAGCGAAAGAGTTCCCATGAGGCAGTCCAGTGTGATCGAGATGTCTTCATACATGGACCTCGACGAGCAAACTAAGGACTTATCCCCCAAAAAGCAGACATATCAAGCCCTACAGAAGACGCCAAATTCCTCCAGGTACGTTTCCAAACCACTGAAATCTTCCCTGAAGAAAACCGCTGAGAAAGCTTCGTCCGTGAAGAAATTCAGCGCGGATGACATGATGGGTGACAGCGGGATATACGGGGAAAGTGGATTGTACATGAAACAAGGAGAGGGAGACATTCGATCTACCGACTCTGAAATGAGCAAACCAGCTCAACGACAAGATTCCATGATGGGGGAGAGAGCATCGTACATGCCGTTGGGTACCGTGAAGAGCAAGCGTGCCACGGCACAGAGCAGCCGCAATCGCCGCTCAGGAACACTGAGCAGTGAGAGCAGCACTGACGCACGCGATACTCGCTCAGGCTATGAGGTGCCTCCTGATGCGGGAACAACAGATGATTACATGGGGGAGGCGGTCTACGAGAAATCCCTCGACACCAAGGATGGCGGGAAAGGTCCAGCTCGTGGTCAATCTCGGGCATCCTTGTCTTCAAGTGCACCCATGCCGAATCCCAGCGCTCGTGGTCGAAAAGGTGCAGATTCGACGTCTTGCGAGAGCCCTTCTTCGTCAGAGAACGGCAAGAACCCAGTGTATTTCACGCTGGAGCAAGACAACTATGGAGCCGACATCAGTTCCGAAAGCGAGTCCTACCAAGGGCCCGAGTCCTACCAAGGGCCCGAGACCTACCAAGGGCCCGAGACCTACCAAGGGCCCGAGACCTTTGACAGGAATCCCATCGGCAAACCCGCCAAGTCCGCACCAGCTCGCAAGCATTCGTCAACCTCCGAGACATCCTATCTAGACCTCACCGACGCCGATGGAGAGATAAAAGGCTACATGGACATGACTAAAGCAAAACCCAAGCAACTCAAGGCGCCCTCAACGGTCACCAAGATGCCACCGAAGGCCGTCAAGGTGCCGCCAAAGGTCACCAAACAGGTCAGCCTATCAGATTCCGAGTGCTCCTCTAATGGATACTACCTACCGATGGAGGGCGATCACCGGGGCAGCGAGTACGCCGTACCGCCCTCCAACCAGCTGAAGCAACTCACGGTCGGAGAGAGCGACCCAAAGGAGGTGATCGGCTCGATGGAATCTCACGCGGTGCCGCGCGTCGAGCGCAAACTGAGAAAGAAAGGCGGCTGGGGCAGAATATTCAAGAAGTGACAAAAAACTGCAGGAAGCGAACAATAATCAGGCCATTTTAACTGCAAAACTGGACCACTAGCCTTCCTTTAAAGGCATATTATAGGAACATGTTCATCCAGATTATTATCAAAACCTTATTTGTACAGGTACTAAAGACCCCTGTGAAATTATTTCTTATGGTTTACTGTCATTTCAGAAGAAATTGCAAAATGTAGCTGATTTCCAAGGATCATTCAATTTGACTGATCGCTGGAAAAGTATTTTACGTTTCGCGAACAAAAAAGGTTGTGCATGCATTTTGTGGGTTTCTTTTTTTTTTTGTCATTGCCCAATTTCATAGCGCTGCTCAACGGCCGACATTGTGCTTACCGAGCCTCCATCTATTTCATAGGGACCGTTAAGCAGTAAGTGCAGCAAAAGCACGCTAAATCCCAGAGGAAAACTAAATCAGTGACGTAACAATAGAAATGCGTGCACAAAAGTTAGCATGAAATAGTGCTTAAGCAGTAGCATGATTTTCTGCTATCGTAAGCACAACTTTTCTGCTTACTGTTAAGCAGTGTTATGAAATTGGGCTGGTAATCATGGCTCAAACGATCAACAGGAGCTTGATATTAAATATTATACTTTTATTTCAAAAAAAATCCCGCACTTATGTGTAACCTGAACCCATTACTAAATGTACATTGTTTAATTCTAATGTACATTCTAATTAATGAACAAAAATTAACTTAGTATGGATGAGTTTTATATTAATATGAAGACCATTTTGCCCCTCTAAGTTGTATAACTAGGCCTTTTTATAACCGTGAGCCTTTTATGTATTTCTAACTTTTACAATGACCATGTATTTTACAATTTTTATCTTATCAATGTACCATCGTTCACTGTCCAATATAAATTTGTAATGACGTGCATATTTCAAGTGCTTATTTATGTATATTGGCTGCATGTACTCAGATGTGGAAAAATCTTTCCTTTTATAAGGCAAAGTACAAAAAAAACATGTTTAGCGTCCTGCCTTTTTGAAGCGGGAAGCCCTTCCCCCCTCTAAATTGGCCGCCTAACCGGGTTTTTTTTTTCAAGATGGTGTTAGTTTTTTTTTTTTTTTTTTTTTAATGGCCGCCATCACGGGACTCAGGAAATGACATACATGTACCGGCTTTATATGGGCTATATGCAACAAGGAGCCAAAATGATATCACTGTAAAAAATAATTATTTTTTTTTTTCTGTTTTAAAAAAGACAAGAGGAGGCCTCCAAAAAGCAAGCGGGCGAGGACGCTAAACATGTTTTTTTTTTATTTGGCCTGAAGTTTGTACTTCGCATAAAAATAGTGAATAAGGATTTAGTGGTTTTAATATTACTGCAACACTTGTATATTTGAGTATGGTTTCCGAGTTTAAAGTGTATATTTTTGAAGATTAATCCTTAGGCTAGGTGTTGTACACCGTATCGTAAGTTTCCAATTAATTTTCTTAACCAGACACTGCAAATTAAGGCGATAACAACAAACAAGCTCATTTCGTACTTGTTTCACGAGCGCTCACAGTACATTATAATCATCTCGTCAGAACATGCACGCATATGACAACTGTAAAACTTATTGAAATGTTTCATGGATCAGTCGTTAGTCAAGCTTAGAACAAAAGTGGACGGACGAATATCTGCGCATGTGCATATCAAACATTTTGGTTCCACGTCAGGTGAAGCATACATGGAATGCAAAACACGATGCCGTCAAAAAATCTTCGAAAATTGAACCACTGTTCGCCTCAAACACGGTGATCATTTTTTAAAACTTATTTCAGGACCAAAAAAATCGTCAAATTTGTTGGTACCTTCTTCCGATTTCGCAAAGGAAGGGCTTTCTCTCGCAGAAAAAGTATGTTCTTTATGTGCACACGCGTAGTTGGAGTAATGAACTGGCTTGTTTTACAAGTTGATTTGGGGTTTTTTTGAACAAGGTTATGCATTGACGAGTATTAATTCGAATTTCCCAACGAAACCAAAAGGTGCTAGTTTGTATCATCAAAAGGATTTAACTGCCATAAACGATTTACAAGAGTTCACATCTAGTTAATGCAATCAGTTTAACAAACATGTACTTTGCAGCCGATTGGTCAAATGCGCCTTTGCTGATCTGATAAACCGTGCGCTCTGGAGACATGCACACAATAGGGAACAAAAGATTGTGCACGTCTCCACAGGGCAATATGGATGAATACGTCTCCACAAGGTTTTCACGAAACAGATATATGGATTTTACCCAAAAACTAGGAATTTCCAAGGTATATTGATCCGTCGCAAATGGTAGAGTTTTAGAAAAAGGATAATAACTTCGAATTTCAGCCAAGTAAATTAATTCTTGCTAAAGATAAGAGCATTTTGAAACTGAACTTTCAAACTCGAAAACTTTAGTACACGAGAACAAAACAAATTCTCCACAAAAATACAAATATGTATGAACATAGAGCAATACCGAAGAGCCAGAAAAAAGGATATTCAAAGCATCCAGCGTATCATATTGATCCGTACATCTGCTTCTCTCAGTTTAGTATATGACGCCTATTGTATATTTGTTATGTTACTAATTTATGTGGGGTATTGTATTTGACGTTAATCTGATGACATCTCATTTTTCTCTGTTTTATTTTGTCTGAAAATGTCTTTTGTATAAGCCGTACAGTAGTACTTTGGGACTTGGTATCGATGTACATGTACATAAGTCAGTGCAATGCAGAGTTTTTAAATTAAGAATTCCATTGCAAGGTGGTGGTTTTTACACACTTTTAACAATTATACAAACATTGGACGTGCATGGTTCGATTGCTATGTACATGTATGAGCAGCGAATTAAAGCTGTTCATATGTATTCAGTAATAACACTGTCCAATTAAATGCGCTCAGTGTACATGTACACGGGTTAAGAAATCAATGGCTTTTTAGAACCTTTTTGAATTGGTGTTACCGCTCCATATTTTGAGCTGTCTAAATCTACACATGTTAATTTTTCATGAGCGACTGAGACATTGTGCCTAATGTGCATGTAGGGTACAGCTACAAATGCATCCCACCAAACCCCACGAAAGGTAATGCTACATAGATTCAAATGCAATGACATAATAAAGTGGTGAATAGTAGGCCTATCCCATAAACAAATATGCCTCCATAACGCATAAACTTTGCGACACAACAGCGGTATCGAAAAAGGAAGTACTTTTCCCTCAAATGTCTTGGACATTTTGGGTGTTGTTATGCTATGTGAATTTCCATATTCATGAGCTAATATGTGATGTATTTTCAGGCAGAAACTACAGCTATTTCAGTACCAAACGTTGCCAGAATTTTAGGTACTTTGCTGTTGTAATTTTTCTCTTCTTTGGTAATTATGTTGTGTCTGTACATTGCAGTAAGTCAATGAGTACACTGTTCTCACAAATGTTTTCATTGAACAATAATGTTTTGGGCTCATAATTTACACAAACCCCTTTAACTGAAAAATGACATTACAATTTGTTGTCCGGAAAAACATGATTTTTTTTTAAAAACTGTCTAAAGAAGTACACTTTTCAATAAAAAATAACCAAAAGGAATGCCAAATAGTTTTCAGATTCGTTTGCACACGTTTGCGTATCAAAATTTCGACATGAAATTTCATGCAAATTAGACATCTGAAAAAGGCAGCACTTTCTGATTAGCCTATAAAGAGGGTGGGAATGCTTCTAAAGCAAAAATAAACTACAAACTACGCCTAAATGTGAAAATCAAAATGTGACAAAGTTCTACATGTTTTTGTACATGGTGGAAGTGTGGCCTTTATTTACGGAGGTAGTCCAGTAAATTGGCCACAATTATGGGGCTAGGCATGTCGCGTGCCGCTCGAAACAGATGATCGTCTGCTAGTTTCCTGCTCCCACCCATTTGTGAACACATGATGAAAATAGCGTGGGTACCAATTATACATGAGTTTAACGCCGTACACAATGTACCGCGTACGTGCCGCCGTACACTAAGTTATAAGCACACTCCCTGTGGGACATTGAATGTTTGAAATACTGGATTCTAATGAATGGGCTAAATCTGGCCACAAAAACGGACAGACTTCCAGTGAATATAGCCAATCAGATTCGATTGAAGAGAATTTGTGGGTGTTCTTGACCAGCTTTACTAAGCTTAGTTTAATACACATCATCCTCTAATCTAAAGGGGTGGTCAGTTTTGCCTATTCAGTCACGTACTGCACGTTCCTGGAAAGTGTGTAGGCGTGTTTTGCACGAATACTTCCAACTGTTTTCTGATATTTTTTTTCAAGGTCGGTCAAGTTGTCATGGCTATGATCTCTTTTATCAACGCTGTCTGATTTTACCGCCAACACCTGGCGCCCGCCCACCCCCGGTCGTTTCGAACACCTTTATAAGGTCCTTGGACTTAAAAAAAAAAAAAAAAAAAAAACCTGGTTCTAACAGGTACCTTGTATTAACAGTAATGGAAAACAAAGAAAAACAAAGACTTGGGACCTGAAATTTTGCTTAAAGCACGACGTTGTATTAAGTGCTCTGCTTATTAGGGTTCGATTGTATTGTGTATTTCATACAGCATGAAGTACATACAACCAGTCAAATTGTGAATTTTCATGAACTTCCACTGTTTTTCCATTCCACCTAGGCTGTGGGTTTGGGCTCCTTATAATACAGGGTTTTTTTTCACACCAGACGAATTTCGTGTGAACAACCACAGTTTATTGTGCAGTTATTCTTTCATCCGATAATGAAATGAACAAATACAGCCGACACTGTTCAGTAACAATACAAGATGAGTAAAAAAAAACCCGAAACACAATTGTCGGGACTATTGTTTCAGTGAAGTTCTGCATGTATCACTTTCAAAATCTAGGATATGAAAGCCCAATTCATAAGCTTTCTTTTAGTACAAGAATCATTCAAACCACTCATGTACTTCTCAAGTTACGAAATTTTAAACATAAACCATTTTAAAATTCTGTCCACGGATCACAAAAAGGTGCGTTTTTTTCAGCAAACGAAAACAATTTGTTGTCATTTTGCTGAAAGAACACTTACTTTTTTGTGATGCGTGGACAGCATTTTAAAACTGCAGTTGTGTTTAAAATTCCGTAACTAAAGTACATGAGTGATTTGAATGATTCTTGCACTAAAAGAAAGCTTATGAATTGGGCGTTCAAATCCTAGATTTTGAAAGTGTTGCATGCAGACTTTCACTAAAACAATGGTCCCAAAATTTGTGTTTCGGGTTTTCCGATGGTTTTGCTCCAAAATCCAAATTGGTCCTTATACATGGTTTAATCCTTACACAAGGCTCTGACAAATGATTATGGCTGACTTGATAACACTGATTCAATATACATTTTTTTTGTCCGCACTCGATTCGGTCAAGGTTAACTGTGCATACCACTGTCATTATGCAAGGCAAATGCACCATAATATGATTGAATCCCCCCCCCCCCCTATTTTCAGCGTTTTATTTCTTTACTATTTTTCATGCGCGCATAACTTCAAACGCTGGGTCCTGGAAAATGGTGCAAGTACCCTTGATACAAAAGAAGAATTTGTTTGCAAAGTTGTTTTTTCTTAACTCGGAATACGCACGGTTGCAGAACCATTGGCCGTGTTGGATCAGTATTGTACTCGTCATGCGGGCCGGAACCACTGAGCTAGGTTGGTGGAACTAAAATGTTATACAATGCACTTGGGAAAAAAAGAACAATGACAACATTCGTCAAAGTTCTTTTGTGAGCAATGCCACCTGCAAAATACGGACGTCATTTCCTCTGAACATAAAAAGTCGCTAAATCCTTTTCTTAACATTTTTTTTACGAAAAAGTCTAGTTTAAAGGCGTCTGCTCGGTTCATTCCATGCGAATCGCAAGTACGAGTCATTGTGAGGAGCAAATCGGAATCGTTCGACAATGAAAATCAACTATTGAGATGTAAACAGAGCCCTCCTGATGCAATATAACAATAAATTCCAGGGTTTTTTCAGTGTTGGCCAAAGAAATGTAGACCCAACCGTGTCCAGGCTCCGTCAGTGAGCCTCAAACAAATTGACATATGACCTTTAAAAATGGTTTCTGGTATATGTACATCTATTTATTTATGCAAGGAGATTTTTATTCATTAAAAAAATACAAAAATAATCAAAATTAAAACAAAATCACACATAATCAAAAATATGTTTTCCATTTTAACTTGAAAATTAAAGCTTCAATTCCAACATAACATGGATATGTACATATTGTACAACCTCAAGAAATGAAAGAAATCAAAACACAAATCATACAGTAAAAAATGCATACAGTTTGTACATAATGTGTGGAATTACTCGTGCAAACTGCATGCAATTTTAGAAGCAAAAGAGCCTTACTTTAAAACAAAACCCCAAGAAATCGCAGATTAACCCTAACAGAACTCAACCCATCAAACTCCAACAGCATGTATTGTTGGAATCTGTCTGGATGGGTACAGTACCCCTAAACTGTCAGAAATATGTGTGCACAGTTTCCCATATGGTGTTGGAATTTGCCAGGATGGGTATGGTTCCTAGTAAATCATGCTAGGGAGTTAGGGTTAAAATAGCCAACGTCGTCAAGCCTGTCTTAATCGGAGAAATTACAATAAGAATTCCGTGGGTGAAGTTTCATAAGGAGTCATGGGCGTTTTTCTAGAGGGAGGCAAAGCACATTCCCCCCCCCCAAAAAAAAAAAACCGCCCCTATATTTTCCAGCATTTTCCCAATTGATCATTTTTTGAGGGTAGCCAGGGACATTTGCCCCCCCCCCCCATTAAATTAACAACAATACGATTTCGCGCCTCTTTTTCTTTCTTTTTTCCTTTTTTCCCCTTTTTTTTTGGGGGGGGGGGCTTGTCTGAGGGGGGGAAGTGCCCCCTCCTCGCGACGCCCATGCAAGGAGTAGGATACTTGCCTACTTCAAATTGCTTTTAAAAAACCCAAAAAATTAGTATCATACTAGTGTATTTCAAGGGGAAAGTCCATCTTTCTTACATTTATTTCAGGAAAAAGGCTAAAATTCTTTAGCCCA